ATTATTAATGGATGTATACAGCTGTTTCTCTTCATTTTAAGTTGTGCCCCATCAGCAAATGAAGGTCCTGAGGGCTTTACTCCATTTGTGTCATCATAGTCAACTCTACTTTGAGGAGGCAAGTCTTCCCCAGTTATATTTTGAGAGCCTTCCATTCATGAGGGGCTCATCTTCCAGCACCATATCTGACAATATTCTGGTGCTGACAGTGTTCCACTGCTAGTCATAAGATTTTCAGTGACTGAATATTTAGAAGTAGTCTGTAAAGCAGCCTATAAATTAGACGTTTTTGTCATTTTATATATGAGGTCTTTCTAGTCTGTCTTTGTCTGGAAGCTGAAACCTATCCACTGTGGGTGATCCTGCTGGTGTTTAATATACATGTGGCATAGCTTCCAGAATCACAGCAACACACGTCAGCCACCCCAGTTTCTGTCACAAACTGACAGAAAAGTGTGGTGGATTTTAGAGATTATTAGTAAGATATTGTACATTGTTTCATTCAAAGTCTTCTAAATCCCAGTGTGTATTTCACATGTGCAGCACATCTCAGTTGATACTAGTTACATTTCAGATGCTCAGTGGCCATGTACAGTTAATGGTTGCTCTATTGGACAGTGTAAAAAGTCATGCAGGACAAGAATCAGTGATGCTAGAAACTAATGAAGTTATGAACAGCCTTCCCATGAGAGCTGTATTTTAGCATCTACAGAACACCACCTCCATATTTGTCATCTTATCTGATCCTCAAAAATATTCCTTTGACCTAGTACCATTATTTTTTATTAATACCATTTTAGAGAAGAGAAGATTGAGGCTTAGAGACATTTAGTGGCTTTTCCAAGTTTGCACTCTTAGTAAATAATGCCACCAGGATTTGACCTCAGGTCCCTTGATTTCTGTTCTGCTCGTTCTTTTCCCCCCCACCATAACAAATGAAATCTGGATCAGTTGAGAGTGTGTCACGTGTGTGAGATAAGGAGTCCCTGGATAAAGTAAGAGAAGTGAAAATAGCAAAGTAGGGATGGCAATGTTGCTAAGAAAGAATCATCTGAATCAGGAAACTGACTGAATATGGAGAGGAAAGTATCAGAGAGGACTGAGTTTCAGCCATGATAACTAGAAGAAAAAGTGACAGAAACTGGAAGAGAGGATGATTTTTGGGAAAAGTCTTAACTCTGGTTTTTGACATGTTGAACTAGAACTGATGTAATGAAATCTGACCTCTGGGAAATGTGAATTTTCCTAGACAAAAAGAGTCATTCTGATAGCTGTCCCACACCTTGAATATGATGTCTGGTACAAGCACTGACTACTAAACCCTGTTTCCTCTGAAGTTTTTGTACAATTTTTCCAGTTAATTTAAATTGTGACTAGTTTTATGTATCTTTCTAAAAGAGGTATTTAACTTTCTGAAGAGGATTGATGATTTTAAAAATCATGTAAATAGTACTTACTTTTCTCTATATGTAGCAATGTATACTTTCCAAAGCATTTTTACATATTATTTTCAGGACAGAAAAGTAGACGTTTTTGTCAATTTATACATGAGGTACCAAACAGAGAAGAAAGGTAGCCGACAGCATCTCAGGACTGATCAGTAACAGAATCAGAACTAAAACCCATGTCACCTGGTCTTAGACTCTTCTTTAACGGTCTCTTTCTTTTTTTAAAAAAACTTTTTGAGAGAAAGCTTACAGATCAGTTTTCCATTCAACAATTCATGTATATTTGTTTGATAATATTAATTGCAAACCAACAATGTAAAAGCAGTTTTCCCACTTCCTCCCTGTGTTTAACATTTCCATTCATTTGTCTTTCCTATCCCTTTCTGCCTTCTGAACATTGTTCCTGTGTAAATGCTGCCCTTTTGATCTTAAATGGTTGATTGTTCTAAGGCTTGCATACCTCCCTGGTGCTACTGCTCACCTTGTTGTTGCTGTTGTTGGGTGCCATCCAGTCAGTACCCACTCAGTGAACCTGTGCACAACAGAACACAATACTGCACAGTCCTCCGCCATCCTCACAGTTGTTACACCCAAGCCCATTGCTGCTGCCACTGTGCCAGTCCATCTCATTGGGAGTATTCCTCCTTTTCTCTGACCCTCCACTTTACCAAACATTATATCCTTCTCCAGGGATATAATGTGTCCGAAGTATGAGAGATGAAGTCTGGCCATCCTGGCTTCCAAGGATCACTCTAGCTGTTAGCACAGATGGTTAGTTCTTTTGACAGTCCATGATACTTTCAATATTCTCCTCCAACACCATAACTCAAATGCACCAATTTTTCTACAGTCTTCCTTATTCACTGTCCAACTTTCACATGCATATGAGATTATCAAATATATCATGGCTTGGGGCAGGAGTCCCTTAATCCTCAAACTGACATCTTTGCTCTTGAACACTTTCAAGAGGTCTTATGCAGCAGATTTACCTAATGCAGTACGTCATTTGATTTCTTGGCTGCTGCTGCTTGAATGTTGATGGTTGATTCAAGCAAAATGAAGTCTTTGACAACTTTCTCTCCATTTATATGTTGTTGTTTATTGGTCCAGTGGTGAGGCTTTCTGTTTTCTTTACATTGAGATACATCACATCTGTTCTTCTGATGATCTCTAAATTCAGGCTCCCTGGACTTGTTTTAATTTTCTTCAGCTTCACCTTGAACTTGCATATCAGCAATTGATGATCTGTTCCACAGTCTGCTCCTGGCCTTGTTTTGGCTGATGAGCTTTTCCACTGTCTCTTTCCACAGATGTAGTCTATTTGATTTATCTGTATTCCATCTGAGGAAGTGCATGTGTATAGACATCTTTTATGCAGTTTAAAAAAGGTATTTGCAATGAAGAAGTCATTGGTCTTGCAGAATTCTATCATGTGATCTCCAACATCATTTCTGTCATCAAGGCCATATTTTCCAACTACTGATGCTTCTTCTTTTTTTCTAACTTTTGTATTCCGATCACTAGTAATTATCAATACATCTTGATTGCATGTTTGATATTGTCCTATCACAGACAACATTGTGCTTCATGGTTGATCTTGATATATTCTTTTTGATAATGAATGTGATGCCATTCCTCTTCAATTTGTCATTCTTGGCATAGTAAACTATATGATTATCAGATTCAAAATGGTCATTTCAGCTCATTAATGCCTAGGATCTTGATGTTTATGTGTTGTATTTCATTTTTTACAATTTCCAGTTTTTCTTGATTCATATCATACTTCATATATTCCATACTTAATGGATGTCTACAGCTGTTTCTCGTCATTTTGAGCTGTGCCCCATCAGCAAATGAAGGTCCTGAGGGCTTTACTCCATTCACATCATCAGGGTCAATTCTATTTGAGGAGGCAGCCCTTCCCCAGTCATACTTTGAGTGGCTTCCAACCTGTGTGACTCCTCTTCCAGTACTCTATCTGACAGTATTCTAATGCTCTTCATGTTTCAGTATTCAATATTTTGTTGTTGAAAGTATGCCATTGCTATTCATAAGGTTTTCAGTGACTAAAGATTCGGAAGTAGGCCATCTCTCCTTCTTTCTAGTCTGTCTTTGTCTGGAAACTCACTGAAACCTGTCCACCATGGGTGACCCTTCTGGTATTTAAAATACCTATGGCATAGCTTCCAGAATCACAGCAACTCACAAGCCACCACAGTACAACAAACTGACAGACAAGTGGTGAATTACTGGATTAAAGTGAATTCAGTTGCAGGCTTGAAGGATGACTAAGCACCATTGTCTTGGGGATGAATTCTGTCAGACCAGTAAATGTGTTTTTTGTATTTTTTTTTTTTTATGATTTTTAGTTTTGTTTCACATTTTTTTCCCCACTCTGTCCAAGACCTTTTATTGTGATCCCTTTCAGCATGGGCAGCAGTGGTAGCTGGCCACTACCCAGTACTTATCTCAGGGTTGTGGAAGCTGAGGTTTATGTGGTCTGTTAGTCCTTGGACTAATTATTTCCATGCATCTTTCATCTTCTTCACTTTTCCTTGCTCTGGACAAGGAGAGACCAATAGTTGCACCACTGGTGAGCCTTTAAGACTATTTTGGCTACTCACCAAAGTAGGATGTAGAACACAGGCCTTCTGGTCTTTTTACTTTCCAAGTGTCATTTTTATGGGCCTTTCCTTCTGGACAGGCAAAGGAAAGATGAACTGGAGCAGAGAATGTCGGCACTGCAGGAGAGCAGGAGGGAGCTGATGGTTCAACTGGAAGGGCTAATGAAGTTACTGAAGGTAAGTCCAGAACCGACTTCCAGCAATCCTTCCCCTTCCTCTCATTTTCCATAACAGCCTCCACTTCTGCCTCCCAATATGTCAAAATAAGACAATGCTAAAGCTTTGAATATCACTTCTACATAGTTTTGTTGTTGTTAAGTGCCAGTTCAGACTCATAGTGACCCTGTGTAGAGTTTCCGAGACTTTTCATCTTCACAGGGACAGAAAGCCTCATCTTCCTCTTGCAGAGCAGCTGGCAGGCTCAAACCACAGACCTTGTGGTTCACAGTCTAGTACCTATTGTATGAAGCCACACACTCCCTCCTAGATGACTAGTGAGGTATAAAATTCATCTAAACTAATATAAAGCCTTATTATAAAAAAGTTAGCAACTGGAAATAGGATACTATTCTTACATAGTTGTTATTATAAATAAATACGAATGTTTACTAATAGGATATTAGTTAGGTATTTATTTTGTTGTTGTTAAATGTCTTCAAGTTGGTTCCAACTCATAGCGACACTGTATAAGATTTCCAAGGAACAACTGGTGAGTTTGAACCACTGACCTTGCCATTCAAACCAACCTTGTGGTCGAGTGCTTAGCCTACAGCACCACACCAGGACTCTTAGGTATGTATGTTGTTAAGTGCTGTTGATTCAATTCTGATTCATAGTGACCCTGTATAGGGTGTCTGAGGAGCAGCTGGTGGGTTTGAACTGCCTGCCTTGTAGTTCACAGTCTATTGATCCTACAGCACCACACCAGGAGTCCTAGGTCTGTATAAGTGAATAGTATTTCTCAACCACTTAGCTCCTCTTAAGATGAGTTTTCAAATGTTTTAAAATATTCTACCTAAATACCTAATTAACATTAAGTGTCCTTTTTTTAAAATACGTAGTACAGAGGCAAATCAGCCTAATCAAATCAAGCTCCATTAAAATCATTCTAATCAATGACTTATGGATGCAGTAGCATTATCAGCTCTAATTCATTCTAAGTCATTCATTGGAAACCTGTAAGTTTAGGAATAATTCCTGTTTGTCGGTGTGGCCTGCATGTTGTTAGTTAAGGAGCCCTGGTGGTGCAGTGGGTTAGACATTGCTCTGCTAACCCCCTAGTCCCACCGCAGGCTAGTCACTCCTGTAACGGTTTATAGTCTTGGAAACCCTATATAGGGTCACTGCTCAACTTGATGGCAATGGGTTTGATTCTTTGGTTTTTATGATACTGACGAATCCTGGTGGTACAGTGGTTAAGCATTCGGCTACTAACCAAAATATTGGTAGTTTGAACCCACCAGCTCCTCTGCAGAAGAAAGCTGTGGCAACCTGCGTCTGTAAAGATCTAACAGCTTTGGAAACCTTATGGAGCATTTCTACTTTATCTTATGGAGTCTCAATGAGTTAGGATCAGCTCAGTAACACTGGACTTGGGGATTTTTTTTATGATACTGAACAGGTTTCAGTGGAGCTTCCAGGCTAAGAATGACCTGGCAGTCTACTTCCAAAACTGAGGATCACAAGGCTTTGGTGTGTGCTCATCATGGGGTGGATGGTGCGGGACTGGAAAGCATTTTGTTCCTTTGTGCATGGGGGTCACCATGAGTTGGGAGTCAATTCCATGGCAGCCAACAACAGACCCCAGAGCAGAGAAAAGCATACCTGGCATTTAAATACTGCACTTGAACCAACTGGGCATTGAACAGAAACATTTACCCAGCTGGGTACATCACCACTGATGCTTGTACTCAGGAGCTAAGCAAAATGAGCTCATGCCTGGAACGCTCGCTCACCTTACCTTTCCAGAGCTCATTTGTCTATGCTGTTAGCTCCTAAGTTCCTATCTGCTTATGCTTTGAAGCCACTGGAATTTGTAGGATGACAGACTTAGTGACCAGAGTGAAAAATCACTAAATGTGGAGTACCTCAAAAGTCAGACTGAATGAATTTAATTCAGGTGGATGAATTTAATCCTGTCATAAAGGAATCTTAATATGCAGAATGGGTTAAAAAAAAAAGGGGGGGACAAGTGTAACACTAGGAGATTAACATGACCATGACACACTGGTGGCACAGTGTACTAAGTGTTTGGCTGCTAACCATAAGGTAAGCAGTCAAACCCACCAGCTGCTCTGAGGGAGAAAGATAAATGAGTCTAATTCAGTAGAAATGTATTGTCTTGGAAACCCTAAGGGACAATTCTACCCTGTCCTGTAGAGTTGCTATGAGTCGGATTTAACTCGATAGCAATGGATTTGGTTTTGGTTTTAATGTCATCATATGGCCTGAGGTCATAAGGGTCTGGACCAGGAGTAGTATGTATATGTACGTATCAGGTGCCATTGAGTTGATTCCTACTCAGCAGTCCACTGCACAACAACAGCACAAAACACTGCCCATCCTGCGCTCACTGCCACACCTCCAAGGAGTGGTGGCCCAAGGATATATCAACTTGTAAGCTATACTTCAACTTTGTCATCTAAACCAGTGCCTTAATAATAACACTAGTGAGTGCCAGCAATTTGATAAATGTAGTGTTTGTATTTTAAAAAGACTCTTACTTGCTTAAGACTGTCACGTCTTTAGTCCTGATCTGAATTTTTTTCTAGGTGGTTTTGTAGGGACTTGTTTCCACATTGACCCTGTTAACAGAATTTCTCCTAAGAAATATTTTATGTCTTACATGGATATTGTTTAAAAGACAATTTTATGCATAAAGCTTGGCCCAAATCCCTCTAACAATTACCAGTTAAGCAACCCAGCCACCCACTCAAAAACAGAGATGCATTAAACATCATTGGCCTTTGTAACATCTGGAGCCACATAGAGCTTTAAAAGCCTTGCCTTTGTGGAAAGTAGTCCACCTGCTGGACAGGAAATAATAGGGACATCCACCTCGCCCTTCCATGTGTCAAACCTCCCTATCATAATGATGCCCTCAAACATTACTCAAATACAGATGGGAAGGTGTTCGTTCCACTGTGGTTCTAATAAAAGGCAAAGATTTATATACGCTGATAGGAAGCCAGAGTGTCTCTCATAGAAGTAACATAGTTCATTTTCCCTTCAGTTGAATTGTCCTGGGCAATAGAAGCAGTTGGATTTCCTTGGAGTAAGAGGCTCAGAGCCCCACCTACACACCTCCTACCACTTCTGACACTTGTCCTCAAGAGCTAAGCAGACTGAGTTAACGTCTGAAATTCTAACCCTAATCCCGGAGTTTATTTTATATTTCCAGCTGTTGTCTTACAGTTATAATTTCAGTAAAACAAGAGATCCCTGCAGCAGCCCCATTTTATAGGACCCCCTAGCAGGTTCTTTAATGCTTTGTAATTTACTCATTTGACAGGCTTCCATCACTCAGATTGCCAGGAAGAATTTGCAGACACCAAGCCCAGGAATGTTGTCATTTTATTCATTAAATGGAATTCAGATGAAAATCTCATGCCTTTAATGTCCAGCTTCCTAAAAGGAATACAGCACAAGTTGTTTATTATACGAATATACATTCCTGGAAAGTCATACATAAAGTTATTTATTGAATCATTGACTTCTATTATAATTTCAAAGATGTTTTCCTACTATAAAAACAAAATTACAACCCATAATAAAAACTACCCTTAAGAATCCTAATTTTAATTTCAAAGTACTGCCCTGCTTTCAATGATGTTCGGCCTGTTAAGCATTTAATTCTCTCATAAAACAGCTGTAAGCAGTTAGTCAAACGGACAGTCAAGCCACACAGTCTGGGATATTCATAAATTCAAATACATCACACAGTAAATTTCCATTTCACAAGGGGTTCTTTCATTCAGCTGTTTGAGTAACATATTTTGTAGTTTATAATCTATCCGAAAACAACAATAATTTTTAAATGCATACATATGAAGTGTTATTAATTCAGTCAACAAAAGTCTTAAGGACAAGGCAAGATAAAAATCAACCAGACATTTATTTAACAACAACAAAAAAAAATGTGTTGCATTTTTAAATGTCATTTTTAGGTATCTGGTGCATAATACTCAACGTGTGCTGCTGGGGAGTACCAGGGACCTTCTTACTGTTCGTTTGTTTTTAATGACGTAACATAGATGGACACTCAGGCACTGCATTTCTGTATCTAGCTTTCCCTGATATTTTTTCTCCTGATTAATGAGTACTCAACCTCTGCCTCAAACTTCTTATTTAATCTAGAAATGACTTTGTGTCAGTGTTTCAGTTTCTCATTCATGTTCCCAATGTTTTTCTACCTCATTTTCCATTTTTCCAGTACTGCTTTTGAAATACATTTACCAGATGAATTCTGCAGACTTGAATTTTAACCTCATTTGCAAATGTTTGCCAACTAACCAGACTCCCTGCACTTCGAAGAGTCTCGCATGTTTTTAGGCAGCAGAAGCAGTTCTAGATTTGCACTTATAATTAAGGGTGTTGTTAACTTCCCTCGAGCCCTCTCAAACTCATAGCGACCCTTTGTAGGATTTCTGAGGTGCTTTAAATCTTCTCAGGGCAGAAGCCTCATCTTTTTCCCTCAGAGCGGCTGGCAGGCTCAAATCATGGTCCTTAAGGTTTGCAGTCCAGTGTTTATCTTATGGAGCCACTATGCTGCCTATGCCTTGTCATTTGTCAGTGTTTATTGACCCCAACTGGCTAATTGATAACAAAGAGAGTCCAAAACCCTACATTTGTGTCTGATCTGTTTATTGTGTTGGCAGGATGGTTAAGGCTTTATGAGAGTAGCTTTGGGGAGTATAAACCATACGCCACATTGCTAATTATATAACACCTTCATCTCCAGGTTGTCAGTGCACATAGGAGGCCTCGAAGTTCTGAGAGCATCCTGTCCACTATCCCCATCCAAACCTGACACAGGTGTCCTGTGCTGATTATAATGATTTCATGGTCTGGGACAGACTACATGTAGCAGTCACTAACTATATAAACATGAAAACTACTAAAACTCCCCTCCCCTGTGAGCCAAAGCTATGTTATCTCCAGTACAAATCCTGGGATAAACAGTGAAAATAGGGAAGTGGTACTAGAGACAGTTCTAAGAAATTACATACCAATCTTTTGCCCTCAGGTGCTATTTCAACCTGTCAGGGATGCTCCATTCCTCCCCCACCATTTCAGGCTCCATTTCAACACAGAGCCAACAAGAACACATTTTAAAATTGTTTAGTATTCCTCTGTTGGCTGTTGGCCTTGCCTATGAATGGAGGACAAGTGCCCCACAGGGCTGTCCAGCTAGGAAGGCTGATTCTTCCTCAACCACAGAACTCTAACCCCTTCCTTCGGATTAGACTCTAAGTTAATGTCAACGGCCCTCTTCACTGGACTCCTGTGAGTTTAGGTCAGGTCAGACATCTAGCTTTGATTCTGATGAGTGTCTTCTTGTACTGAGCTGGAGTCACTTCATGACAGTTCTTGGTCTCTATTCAATTTCTTGTCTGTGACTCTTCCTTGCAGAAATAAAAATCATTTTCTCTAAGGTTTTATTTACCCTCTTCCTTTGGTAATTCCTGTGCTGTGCTACAGTTGTTCTCATCATTGCACCCAGTGCTGTGCTACAGTTGTTCTCATCATTGCACCCAGCTTAGCAGACCCTGTGAAAAGTAGAAGCACTTATCCATCCCTGAGACTCCTGAGGTATGTGCTCAGTAGTGCAGAGTGCCTGGATGGCTGGTGGTGGTGGTGGTGATGTTCCGTGGAGTCTGTTCCGACTCATAGCGACCCTGCATAGGATTTCCAAGGCTGTAAATCTTAATAGGAGCAGAAAGCCTCATCTTGCTCCCGCAGAACCGCTGGTAGTTTCGAACTGCTGACCTTAAGGTTAGCAGCCGGACTCGTAACCACTATGCTATCAAAGAGCCAATTTAAATGGAATCATGACAACCATTTTAGATTTGTGTACTTGGGGCAAAGAGCTGAGACTCCCTGACCACAGCTACCCTTGGTTAGTGACAGAAAGAGGAAGCAGAGAGACCCATTAAAAGACTGGTAAGAGTGTTTAGCTCATCAGCATGGTACTTCTTTCTTCATGCCCTCGTGGTATATTCATTTGGTCAGTCAACTGATAGTCAGCAAGTGCCCACTCTAAGCAGAGACACATTTATCTTTATGATTCCAGTGCCTTATACATGTTGTTGTTGTAGAAGTAATGAAAAACTGAGGTGGGGAATTTTTAAAATGATATCTCAGGGCTCTGGAGCAGTTTGCAGTCTATTAGAGGAAGTGGATAATGCATTTGCATCCTTGGGGGGGAAAAGCAAAGCAGCCGAGCAGCTTGAAAGCAAATGGAGAGAGGGGTGTTAGTGAGGGGAGGCTACGAAATAAGAGAGGAAACTGTGGTCAAGTAGGATTGCTAGTTCTGAGAGCAGTGGTTCTCATACTGGCTGTATCGGAATCACCTGGAAAGCTTGTTAAGCATAGATTGATGGGCTCCAGCCCTAGCTAAGAGTCTGGGGTGGAGCCCCAAAATTTACAGCTCTGACAAGTTTCCAGTTGATACTTACATTGCTGGCCTGTGTTTGAGGCCACACTTTTGTACCTAAACAAATATTGTGAACAATAAAATAGAATGACAATTGGGATTTTGAGTCATTATTGAACTTCTTCTTTCAGCATACTTCAGAAAGTTATGTGACCTTGGGCAAGTCAGGTTCTTGAAGGCTTTTTTAGCTCTAAATGAGGAAGTTGGACTAGATAGCATCTAAGTTTCCTTCCGACTCTAGAAGTTAACACTTGATGAAGTGTGTGGCGCAGACTCCTGCCATTTGTTCTGTCCTGTTCACACCCTTGTGATGGGTGGGGCCTTTGATCTCTGAACCCTTGGGTGTGGCCTGTTTTCCCAGTTCTTCCATCATTTCTTCCAAATGTTTGTGGTTATGGCATTAATTTCTCTCCTTTCTCTCTCTGCCTTTTTTTTTTTTTCTTTTTTCCCTTTTCAACACCTCTAGGAGGAAGAGCAAAAGCAGGCAGTAAGTGAACTTCAGAATTCTCCATCCCCTTTTGCATGTTCTTTTCTCATATACCTGTGATATATGTTCTCTGCTCCTCTCTGCCAGATCATCTCTGGAGAATTGGTTATGTGTAAAACCTTCAGCAGTTTTCTCCATGGTAGTTGTATAATGGCAAAAAAGTCCAAGTCAAGTTTGCCTGGTAGAGCATGTTCTTATTTGAAATCAGAGCTTGTTCATTTTGTCAGCATACATCTCTTGTGTTTATTTGAATATGCATGATTACCCACATCATAGTTGAATATTCCTGCCCTTTCATTCTCTGCAACTCTCTAACTGGACTTCAGTTGATCCAAACAACTTTGTGGAGTTATAGGGGTGATTTCAAGTCTAAAGAGTACATCCCGAATGAGCGTGCATGGCAATGAGTAGTTGTTTTGATAACTTTAACTTTCAATGTCCTATAGTCTTGAAAAAGCTTCTGGATACATCAGCTCCACTGTTTTTCTTAACAAAGTTTTAGTGAAGCAAAGTGACTAATTATGCTCTTACTGATTTCCTGTTCAGAACCTACTCCAGAGGAAGCTCTGGTTTTTCTGAGCTGCATGGCTTGTTGCATGGTCTTTAGGAATGGTTTGTGTTTGTTATTATTTTCCTGATGGCCTCTAACCCATGCAAGAAAATCGAATACACAATTGTAACACCATATGTTTACATAACATAGTAAGGGTTTCAAAGCATACATTTTTTTTTTTTAACAAAAGCTAATGTTTAATTTACCACATTCCCCCCCCTTTTTTTTTTTAAAGAAATAAAGCATATTTAATTTTTTTAATCTACCTATTAAAAAACAAAACTATATCTAGGTTTTAGATTAAGAATTGTTGTTGTTAAGTGCCATCGAGTTGATTCCGACCCATAGTGACCCTGTGTAGTGTTTCCAAGGAGTGATTGGTAGGTTTGAACCACTGACCTTGTGGTTAGTAGTAGTCCAGTGCTGATCCTACAGGGTCATACCAAAACTCCATTAAGGTTAAGAATAACCCAACCCATTGTCAATTCGGACTCACAGTGACCCTGTATTACAGCTTTGGAAACTCTGTGGAGAAGTTCTGCTCTGTTGAATAGGGTCACTCTGAGTCCGATCACCTTGGAAACATACAACAACAGCAGTGTTACAAAAGCACACTGCCACATCTCCCATGGAGCAGCTAGTGAGTTTGAACCACCAACCATTCATTTAGGAGCGAAGCACTTACAACATCATGCTGCTTATTATTTCAGCTTGGCGAGCAGTGGAATCCGAGTAAAGGGAGAAAAGGAATATAGGTAGGTAGTGAGAGGAAGAGACAGACTGTTTAGAAAGAGAGAAAGAAAGAGTATGGTATTAGGACAGGCTTGTTGTTGTTGTTGTTGTTGTTGTTGTTGTTAAGTGCTGTCAAGTAGGTTCTGACCCATAGCGACCCTGTATAGGTTTACTAAGGAGCAGCTGGTAAACTTGAACCACGGACTTTGCCATTCAAACTAAATTTGCAGTTCAGCACATTAACCCATAGCGTCACACCAGGAATCCTACAACAGACTGACCACCCAGAAATCTCAATGGCTTTAATGCAATAAAAGTTTTGTTCAGTTTTTGGTTTTGATTGGGTTTGGGGTTTTTCTCATTCAAAGTGTACTGCTTCAATCTATGGTGCTTTGGCATCAGTAGGTAGATCCATTTAGACAAAGCAGAACAGGGTAGAAAGGTCAGTCCTGACATTAAGCCTTTCTACCAGGAAGTGGCACACTCCATGTCATTGGCCCAAACAAGTCACATGGCCACATCTAACTAGGGGCACAGGTGCATAATCCTCTTATTTGCTTAGAAATAGCAGAGAAGCAGGTTCTAGGAAGGTGAGTAAGATCGTGTTGAAGGAAAAGGAAAGAGAACATCTTCCTGTTCCCATCTCCAACTCATTTCCTTGACAATCTCATTCCCTTGCTACTTAATACACCTGGTAGCATAGTGGTTACAAATTGGGCTGCTAACCCTCAAAGTCAGCAGTTGAAACTACCAGCTGTTCCACAGGAGAAAGATGAGGCTTTCTGCTCCCGTAAAGATTTACAGCCTCGGAAACCTGCTCAGGGTCGCTATGAGTCGGAACCTACTCCACGGCACATCACCACCACCACCTGTGGTCCTTCCTTCTCTTCTTTCCTGTAAACTGCATAGATGCACTTTACAACTAAGACCACTTGCTGGGAACTTTTTCTAACAATGAGCCCAGGCCAGCATTTCCTGAAAGAGTCCTTGGGTAGCATATATGCTTAAGCATCAGACTACTAACCAAAAAATTGACAGTTTGAATCTACCCAGAAGTGCACTGGAAGACAGGCCTGTCGATCTACTTAAGAAAAGTCACAGCCTTGGAAACTGTTACCGAGCACAGTTCTATTCTGACACACATGGAGCTGCCATCAGTCAGAATCTAGTCAATGACAACTGCTGTTTTAGGTTTTGTTTAGAGTTGGGAGTAGTATCTCCCCATACCTCTCTGAATGAATGTGCCAGCTCAGAGTGAAGCACGTAGTTAGGAACACTCTATATCTTACCTGAGAACTCTCGTCTAGATGAGGATAGGCTTTATAGATGTTTAAGTTAGTAATAAAAGGAGCGCTACCAGTAAACATTTTATTTTTTAATGTGTTATGAATTACCATGTAATCCAAGAACCAGAAATCTGCCATTCTACTGCTGTTTCTCAGGTCACCTTGAAGGTAGCCTTGAGTGGACATGGAATTAAATAACAACATGCATTTCAGAGATCTTTGGTTCCTTGTGAGATCATCATGCCCTTGAAGTTTGGAAATGGGAAGGTAGACCCAGATTGTTCAGTTTACTGAGCCAATGAGTTAGATCGTGGGAATTCTCCATGGACCAAGGTCCTGGATCATCCATAGCATGAACTGGTAACAAGTTGTTTTTTCCCTCATCTCCCTTCACCATGAAATCTGAGGTAAAAGATGCTACTCTGTTGATTTAGGTAGAAATATCCTGTCCACTTCACAGGTTTAAACTGGGCCAACCAAGGCTTAGTTCTGAGGCTCAGATGTGACTAGACTGACTTTACTTGGTTCTTCATATTTAACAGGTCCAGCTAAAACGGCTAACGCATTTAGAACTACAACTTCTACTTTAGTCCATGTGATTACTCACTGAGAGATAAAAAGGTATAAGTTCAGTTATAACCCTTTTTCCTCTCAGGCTTTGACTGGTATGCTTTAATTTCTTCCTTTTCATTTTATTACCCTAAAATTCATTACCCTAAATGGTAATGAAACAATTGTAAAATCTTTTAAAATGAAGAATTTACCAGGCATGCCTTCCAAAACAGACTCTGTAAACCCCTTACAGAGCCCTTTCTCACATAGCCCAGCTTCTTTCTTCTTTCCCCACTGAGGGATTAGTGGGCCTTTGGAAAACTACAGGGAAATGAGTGATGACTGACTTTTAAAGCTTTGGTGTTGTGATTCTGCCATCGACCTCAGCCACACTACCAGCACTTAGTACGTCAACTGATAATTCTTTCTTCTCTCCTGTTTTCACTCTGTCCCTTCTGTTTTCTTAGATCTCAGAATTATAATTAAGAGCAGAGCTGTCTGTCTGTTTCAGATAAAGCTTCATGATTTAACCCTGCGGTACAGGCTCAGGAATTAGATTTTATCAGTTGAGTTAGAGTTAACTGGGCCCATGATAATCATCAGATACTAATTAAAGCCTTGTTCCCTATGGTACCTGCTGCCTATAGCCTGCCTCATATAATTGCTCAGTAAATATATGTTGAATGAAACCAACCACTGGACCAATAAACAAAATCCACATAAATGGAGAAAAGATTGAAGTTGTCGAAGACTTCATTTTTTCTCAGATCAACCATCAACATTCATGGAAGCAGCAGTCAAGAAATCAAATGAAGTATTATTGCATTGGCCAATCTGCTGCATGAGTCTTCTTTAAAGTGATAAAGAGCAAAGATGTCAGTTTGAGCACTAAGGTGCACCTGGCCCAAGCCATGATATTTTCAGCAACCTCATATGCATGTGAAAGTTAGACAGTGAATAAGGAAGACTGTAGAAGAATCGGTGCATTTGAGTTATGGTTTTGGAGGAGAACATTGAAAGTACCATGGCTGCCAAAAAAACAAACAGATCTATGCTGGAAGAAGTGCAGCCAGAGGGCTCCTTGGAAGCCAGGATAGCCAGACTTCATTTCTCATACTTTGGACATATTGTCAGAAGGGCTCAGTCCCTGAAGAAGGATATCATGTTTGGTAAAGTGAAGGGTCGGAGAACAAGAGGAAGACCCCCAGTGAGATGGATTGGCACAGTGGCAGCAGCAGTGGGTTCAGATGTGGGAACAGTTGTGAGGTTGGCCCAGGGCAGTCGTTCATTCTGTTGTACCGACTAGATGGCACCTAACAACAAGTCAAATTTACAAGATATACACATAAAACCACTGCTGTCAGGTTGATTTGAACTCATAGAAACCAAATAGGACAGAGTAGAAGCTCCATAGGGTCTCCAAGTCTGTCAATCTTTTTTTTTTTTTTTTCAGAATTATGTGACAGTTTACATGGGATAACATTAGTTTTACATTCATTCTTTCGTATATTGTCTCATTGCCATGGTTACAATCTCTTCCATGCAATCTTTCCCCAATAGCCCCCAGGTCTTCAGCACACAATCGCTTTCCCTCTCTGGATCTAAATGCTCCAGCTGCTCCATCGCTCCACGTCATCATCTCTGGCTCCATTTCAGGCATCACTGCTTCTCTGGGTAGGGTCCCGCTCTCTGCTCTTCTCCCTTGGTCTGTCAATCTTTACAGAAGCAGATTGCCTCATCTTTGTGGCCGCTGGGTCCAAACTGCTAACCTTCCAAGTTAACAGCTCAACCTTCCATGCCACCAGGGCTCCTTATTTAACTCATAGACAAAATGAATTTAAACATTTATGAATTTTAGTTGACGTAACTGGCTCAAG